CCCATGGCCAACAGACAACACTAGAAGGGTTTGGTGGGCATTGACCTTGAGATTTTGAGTTGTAGTTCACCTACATCCAGAGAGGGTTTCTTTTTTGTTCTGCTTTAAATAAAATGTGAGCCCTTTGGGACGGGTTGCTACAATGCAGATGTAAAGAATGAAAATTAGGCCAAAAAAAAAGCCTACGGCACCCGGTATTCCCAAGCAGTCTCCTATCCAAGTACTAACCAGGCTCGACCCTGCTTAGCTTCCGAGATCAGGCGTGTTCAGGGTGGTATGGCCGTAGGCAGATGCTAGGCTTCCTTTTCCCCTCTTCAATTTCAACCAGCTCCGTCATTGTGATGTAAGATAATATTTCCTATTGGTTTCATGTCAGGAGCGACTCGAGAATCTGCAAGTCGCTTCTGGTGTGAGAGAATGTATGCAAGGACATTGGCCAGGGGCCGCTCGGATGTTTTACCATCCTGTGGGAGGCTTCTCTCATGTCCCCGCATGGGAAGCTAGAGCTGATAGACAGGAGCTCACTCCATCTCATGGATTCAAATAGCTGACCTTCAGGTCAGCAGTCCTGCCAGCACAAGGATTTAACCCATTGCACCATCATGGCTCCTTATGTATATATCTATGTATATATATTTAGTTGGAGCGACACTAAAAAATGTACCTGTTCCAACTTACATAAACCTATCTTGTCCATAACTCAGGGATTGACTGTATTGGCAGGTAAATCCAGAAAATCTTTGTGCAATAGGACTTGTAGGAGGAACAGAAGGAAATGCTTTCAGTTTTAGGATTTATTGGCAAGTGAAGTAGAAACTAGAAGGAGTTGTTTGGGCTCACAACCATTCCTCAGAGGCCAGGACAATCTTGGGACTATACAGTAATGTTTACATTCTTAAAGTCAGATATTGTTCTGTGTTTCATTGTTAGTGAAGACAGTTGTGTAGTGCTGAATCCCAGATTAATTAACTTCCAATCATAAGGACAGGTACACACTATTTTGTAAACTAAGTCCTAACAATACTCTCCATTCAGTTCTCTCTAAAACAAGAAAGGCTGGTATCTGCTGTTCAGGAAAATATACAGCCTAGAATTGTAGTATTGTGTTCCTAGAAAGCCCAAAATCATGAAGCAAAGATTTTATGATCTTCAGAGAACCCCCTGAAGATATTTT